GTTCTTCTACTGGTCACTTGGAGTATCTAACATGTGGGTGCAGGCTTTAGATGGGAGACATCTTGTCTCTGCTTCACATGTTATGTTATGCCCAGAATTCGTGATCCCCAAAGACCACTAGGGAGCCGAGTCCGATGCAAAAGCAAAGAGCCTTTATTCGAGCTAGCTCGAGCTCAATCCCCTACCTGCACCGACGCAGCGGTGAGATACCAGGGAAAGAGAGCAAGTTTCAAAAGGACAAAGGTTTTATTGGGGCCTGGGGCAGTTGGTGAGGTAATGGCTATGGCCTCAGCCGATTGGCTGGGGAAGGGTCCTGGGGAAGGGTCCGAGTCCTGTTAGGCAGGTGGGGGGGGGGGGTTACTCAAGGGGAGGAGGTGTGGTCAAGGTGAAGGACACAGAACAAGATGGAGTCGGCTGGCGTAGGCCCGCCCTTTCAGTTACATGGTCTAACTGGGCTTCCTCACTTGGTAACATTATGTACTAAGCTGATGAAAGCACAACCTGTTGGAACCTATAAGACCAAAGCAGATGAAAGCAGCATCTCTTGAGGCCTAAGTTTGGAATTCACACACAGTTAACTTTTGCCATGTTCTTTAGTCAAGACAAGTCATGGCCAGCCCAGATTCCAAGGATGGGAAAAATAGGTTCCACCCCTTGATGGGAGGAGCAGCATTGCAGAGAGGGGTGGGAACAGGGAGGGGAGCAGTTGTGGCTGTCTTTGCAAACAATGTACCAGAGGGTGAAAGCAAATTATGTAAAGACTTGCTTACAAGGTGAACAGTTTGAAATTTAGTCTAAGGGCAACAGGAAGCTATCAGAGGTTGGTTGGTTTCTTGTCGTGTCTTGTGTTGTTTTTAAGTACTACAGGCAAAAGACTTTTTTCTCAACATCCCTTATTAAGGAGCCATTCCTCTAGTCCCAATTGTTACTGAAGAAGCCATCATGTTAGTACAACAGCCTACCTTTTGGTTGGATGTTTGGATCAGGAGTGGGCCAACCAGAATCCTTTCTTTAGATTTTTTCTGTTGAAAATAAGGGTTGGAACATTGCCAGTACCTGAAGCTGTAAGATGCAAACCTTAGGGAGTGCTGGGGGGTTATGTTGTAAGCTATATAAAGAAAGCCACTCTACACAGAGAAGCGGAGATGGGAGAAGAGTCCTGATGGTCTTGGAGACCACTAATGCTGACATCCCTGCCAAGGCTTGTTCAAATTTGGCTTATCTCTTGCAACCAAAGGAATCCCAACTAATACAAAGAGAGGTTAACACCTGCAAGTAGGGAGTTGCAAGTGACAACATAAAAATCTGAAACCAGTTAAGTTTGGGAGTCATAGTTGTTTTAACTGGTTTTTACTGGTATGTAAGAAAGCTGTTGCATTTTTATGTTTTGCATATAACTATCCCACTGATGGCTTTTCAGCTGAATCTCTTGGAAATTTCCTAGACCAACAATCAGATTATCAGAAAACAATTATATTTTTATCGTCTTCCTTTAGTATACACATATACATACATACGTGTGTGTGTGTGTGTGTGTGTGTGTGTGTGTGTGTGTGTGTGTGTGTGATTTTTTTTCTTGTCTTGCCTCGTTGGCTAGGACCTCCAGAACAGTGTGTTATGTAACAGTAATTATATTCAGCAAGCTCATCCTATTCCTGACATTATAAAAAAAAATTTCTAACATTTCCATCGTAGGTATAATATTTATAGTTCTGGTCTGTAAAATACTCTTCATCATAGTAAGAGGATTGGATTTTTTTTCTTCCAATCTAAACTTAATTTGAATTCTTAAAAATTTCAAATGGAGGGGCACCTGGGTGGCTCAGTCGGTTGGGCGTCCGACTTCGGCTCAGGTCATGTTCTCATGGTTTGTGGTTCGAGCCCCGCGTGGGGCTCTGTGCTGACAGCTCAGAGCCTGGAGCCTGCTTCGGATTCTGTGTCTCCCTCTCTCTGGCCCTCCCCCGCTCATGCTCTGTCTCTCTCTCTCTCTCAAAAATAAATAAAAAAAAAAAGAAAATTTCAAATGGATATCATACTTTGAAGTCATTTTTCAGTACTCAGCAAGTCCATGTTACTTTCTCTATGAGTAAGTCAATGATATTAACATGTTTATTAAGACCGAATCATGTTTACACTCTGCAACAATCCCTACTTGTCTCGATGTAGTATCGCTTTCCTGCAGTTCTGAATCTGATTTGATAATAGAGGCAGCCCTTGTTTTCCATGGTACCATGTTAATTGCTGCTCGTGCATATCAGAGCCGTGTGTTGGAGCCTTGTTCTCGCTTTGCACGGTTCTAACATGCACACTTTAAACATGCCTTACTTTAACCTGGCACTGTGCAAAACAAACATTGTCTGTTTACCTTTATATTCATACACTTTTTATTATATATCTGCTAGATTTTGAGTAGAAAAAAATGAAGAAACTTTCTTTTTCCTATGCTCCAAAACTGTTTAAATGCAAAAGCTGAATAGACTCCATAAAGCCAACTCCTTAGGAGTGATGTACATCCCTGACCATCATTCACCATATTTTGGGGGCTCTTCAGATCTTTTACCTCTTATTGAACTAACTTTGGTAATTTGCATTTTGCTAGAAAATTATTCAGGTTACCTAGATTTTCAAGTTAATATGTACAAAGTATATAATGTTCTTTCATATTATTGATTAATTTTCTATAGTTTACTGTCTTTCTCATTCCTAATGTTATTTAAATGTATATTTCCTTTCTTCTTCTTTCTCTTTCTTGCTGTCACAACCACTAGAAGTTTGTCAAAATAGGTCTCTCCAAAGATTACGTATTTTCAATTTTTAAAATATGTTTATTTTTGAGAGAGAGAGAGAGAGTGAGCATGCAAGTGGGGGAGGGGCAGAGAAAGAGGGGAACAGAGGATCCAAAGTCTGCTTGATGCTGACAGCAGATAGCCCTTTGTGGGCTTGAACCCATGAACCATGAGATCATGACCTGAGCTCAGTGGCTTGACCGACTGAGCCACCCAGTTACCCCATATTTTCATTTTTTAAGCTTTTTAAAAAATTTATTTAAGTAGTCTCTACACCCAACATGGAGGTCAAACTCACAACCTGGAGATCAAGAGTTGAATGCTCTTCCAACTGAGCCAGCTAGGCACCCCTACATATTTTCACTTTTTAATCTATCCCAATTTATATCTTTTCTAGTTCATTAATTTATGTTTTATTTTTTATTGATTCACGCTATTGTTTTTTTAAGTTTATTTTTGAGAGAGAGAGAGAGAGAGAGAGAGAGCAAGCAGGGAAGGGGCAGAGAGAGAGGGAAAGAGAGGGAATCCCAAGCAGGTTTCACACCATCAGCTCAGAGCCCAACATGGGGTTCAGTCCCATGAACCATGAGATTATGACTGGAGCCAAAATCAAGAGTCAGAGGCTTAACTGACTGAGCCACCCAGGCACCCCTCTATTTTTTTTAAAGTAGGCTTCATGTCCAGTGTGAGCCCAGTGCAGGGCTTGAACTCATAACCCTGAGATTAAGACTGGAGCTGAGATCAAGAGTCGGATACTTAACCGACTAAGCCACCCAGGTACCCCATGATTCGCTCTATTATTTTTTCATTTGGTTTACTTTCTCTAGCTTTTTCAGCTAAATAATCAGTTTGCTTATTTTCAGGACAATTTTCTAACAAAGTCATTCAAGAGTATGATGTTATGAGAGTGTATTTAGCAAATCTCATGCATTTTGATATGGAATGTTTTCAGTTTGGTTCATTTTTAATCTCTAACTCACTTTTTATTTTCTCTTTGACCCAAGAGCTATTAGAAGAATGAGTGTTACCTGTACAGTTTCTACTTTTAAAAAGTTTTCTGTTGAGACTTTCTTTTGTCCTAGAATGTGTAGTCGGCCTGAAATGACTATGAGCAAAGTCTGGTTTTCTCTGTCTAGCTCCTTCTTGAAAATAAAGCTGTCTTACTGGCCAGGCTTCCTTCTTCTCCTACCACATCCAACTGAGAAGCTCTCTCTAATTGTCAGTGCAGTCATTAAGCTTTTCATATTTTTTGAAAAAGTATTGATATTGCAACCCTATGGGTCATTAAGCCAGTGATATTTCTGGACCTATTCAGATATGTTCAAGTGAAGAATCAAGGTCATTAACTTGCTCTGCAACCCAGACATGCCCATCGCCTTTCCCTAAAGGCCCAGTGTTTAGTGCCAGCAGGACCCAATCGTATGTGCAGATTTTGAAGAAATTAATGCTGGATGATTCAGTCTATAAATTTAGTTCACAAATTCTTCAGAAAGAATGGTTGAATTTTCCCAAAGGAGAGAGAAGGAAATGATTTGCTGGAAAAGAGAAAAAGGGGCTTCTGGAGAAAAAGGGGCTTCCAGAGAGGAACAGAATAGTGAAAGTTACAAAGGCCAATAACAGTAACTAGTATACATATGAATATTTATATAGATATACGTGTATATGTGTTCTTCACCGTTTACAAACCACTTCACATCCCCTACTTTATTTTTTTTAATTTTTTAATGTTTACTTATTTTTGACAGAGAGAGAGAGAGAAAGAGAGAGAGAGCGAGCATGAGTGGGGGAGGGGCAGAGAGAGAGGGAGACACAGAATCCGAAGCAGGCTTCAGGCTCTGAGCTGTCAGCACAGAGCCCGACATGGGGCTTGAACTCATGGACCGCGAGATCATGACCTGAGCCGAAGTCAGATGCTCAACCGACTGAGCCACCCAGGCTCCCTCATCCCCTACTTTATTTAAGCATTACAGTAATTCTTTGAGTAGGTCTTGAGTATTATGTCCCATTTTGCTGCTTGAAACACTTAGCTTACAAGCGTGGAACCAAGATCTTCTGCTTGAAGTTCTTTCACTGTCTCATGCTGAGGAGTCAACCCTCTAGAGACCACAAAATGTCTTGTCCACAATACAGCCCCTAGTGAGGATCAGGAGAAGGAAGGGGTCTGGCTCTTTGGGTGTCCTCAAATATGTAACCTCAGTGTTTGTCTCATTTGAGATCCCCGCGGCGAAGTTGAACGAGCTGCTCGAGAATTTTTACGTCACCGTTAAGAAGAGTGACGGCTCCGACTTCCTGGCCACCTCGCTGCACGCCATCCGCCGGGGCCTGGACCGCATCCTGAAGAATGCAGGTGTGGGCTTTTCCATCACCAGCAGCACCTTCAGCTCTTCCACCAAGAAACTCAAGGAGAAGCTGTGGGTGCTGAGCAAGGCAGGGATGTCAGGTGCTCGTTCTCGCAATATTGTCTACTTTTCTCTTTCTGATGAGGAGGAGATGTGGCAGGCAGGGTGTCTAGGGGATGACAGCCCCATTACTCTCTTGTCCACTGTGGTCAAGTACAACAGCCAGTACCTGAACATGCGGACACTGCAGGAGCATGCAGATCTGATGTATGGTGACATTGAGCTGCTCAAAGACCCACAGAACCAGCCCTATTTTGCCCGGACAGACAGTGTCAAGCGGGAGAGCCGGAGTGGTTCCACTAGAGTGTGTCATGGGAAAATCTACCATGAGCATTCCCGGGGACACAAACAGTGCCCTTACTGCCTCCTCTACAAGTATATGTACATCCACCGGCCGCCCACCCAAATGGAGGCCAAGTCCCCTTTCTACCTTACAGCCAGGAAGGAGGCCACAGACATGGGCAGCGTATGGTATGAGGAACAGAGGATGGGACTGCGCTCTCTTCGGGGAATTGTCCCAAACTTAGCCAAGAAGGTCAAGCTGGAAAACTGTGAGAACTTCACCTTTGTCTCATTTACTCAGGTCTCTAGGAGACTTGGCTCCCACAGTTGCTGTCAGTGAGTCTTCCCTGGGTCCAGGCCACTGCCCTGCTTACCCTGATGGGAGGGAGCTCCCTCAGGCGGCCAGGGCCAGAGCTCCAAGGTGGCAGGGGACGACTGTGACATCAAGGTCAGGCTGGTCTCTGTCAGTGTGACCTGCTGTTTCTTTGACTTCGGGTTTGTTCTTTTTTTTAACTGAAAGTAGATGGGTCTGAGTAATTAGGGTATTTTATCCAAATGTGTGTCACCTTTGTTAAATAATAGAATCTAACACAATGTATAATTGTTCCATACACAAAAGTGGAGGAAGTTCATCTTATCTAGTGCCTTTTTAGCACAGATTTTTCTCAAAAAAAAAAAAAAAAAAAGAGGAAGAAAAAGGAGACTGTTTAGTCATTAAAAAACTCCCAGTAGCCTAGTAGCTTTAGAATGTTATGAAGACTATATATACTTTGTTGAATTACACTCACAGTAAGGAACTGGAAGGAGAGAGGCAGACATGTTAACTGTTTCCAGGAGAAAAATTGCACTCGACACTCCTCTCTGTGTCTTGTTGATGGATGACTTGGTTCTGCAGAGCAAGCAGCTTTGGTTGCTAGAAGCTGGTGGGGCTGCACTCAGTAGTGCTGATAAGAGGCAGGGGGCTGCCCCCCACTGCTGTCAGCACAGGAGCAACTTGATTCCTGCATCAACGGAGGCAGTTTTAATTTTATGGAAAGAGATTAATGCACCAGAAGATGTTTATGAGAGCAAGGTTTCCGGTGAACTAGATGGTTTGTATCGTGAGGGAATTTCCAGTAGTGGAAAAAAAAAAAAAAGTGGCTTGGGAAAGCGATCTGTGATCAAAATAAGAAAACCTCCTGAAGCAGAAGTGCCTACGTTTTATTTCTCAGTACCACGTGAAAGCTGTTTTCATTCGAACGTTTTTTTGGAACTGTCTTTAATCTGTTCTTTGTGTCACACAGTTGTTCTGTCAGCATCTAGCACTGGATCTGTAAAACAACTAATGGTAATTTTTCAGCTTAACCAGGAAAATCCAACAAGGCAAGCTGCAAAGAAAACCCCAAAATGTGTTCATTAAAGAGCTTTGAAATATGTTTGTCAAAGTATGACTCTTCCAGCCACAGTAGATGTCATCATTTGAGGTTGGCACCACTGCTTGGGACATGATGACGTAGGCAGCCTACCAGGTAAGCAGGCTCAGCATTTTGGACGTAGTTGTGAGAATCAGAGCATGATGACAGGCTGTTAATGCAGTTTGAAATCATTTCACTCAGGTAAACTTCAACCTGAACACATGCTGCTGAAACATCAGCAGAATTTTCTAATAACTACTCTGAATGATAACTGAGAAAGGAGCCCAAAGAGTGGTAATTAATAATAATTTCCAGAAATCTGTATTTTGTATTTGAGGAAAGACTGCTACAGCTTTATACCAGTATGCTCCTGCGTGTGCTTTCTAATCCAAAATTAAAATTCCAATATAAATTCATTTTATAAGAGTCCTAAAATCAGTCCTGTTTCTTTTTCAAAACATTATTTTAGTATTTATTTTAATTAATCGTTCTTAAATATCATTCACCAGTCATTGAAATATGTAATACTTCCCTTACCAGAAAAGACTCAGCCAATGCTGCCTTAAGGTTTAATGTTTTTCCCTTTTTAGTTAAACTGCACATTTATAATTTTGTTTACTAGTTGATCTTTCCTGAATATGGGTTAATTTTGGTATGTCTCCATGTGTGTATAAATAACAGGCAATACTGAATAATCAGTGTTATGACTTGATATTGCGTATTGTTCTGTTGTGATTTCCTATAGTGATTTTAGGATTTTGCTTAAAAAGAGACACAAAACATTAGGTACAGTTTTCTTTAGTTTGCTAAACACCCAAAGGCTATTTTGTTCGTGGAAGGCAGACGGTCATATTTTCTGTCAGTTCTGCACTTAAACAGAAATATAACCCATGTGAACTATTGGGCAGACAGAGCCTACAGCCTAATTGAATAAAACCTCCATCTTTATTTTAAATAGAAATGAGAAGAAGTCGCCATTAGGGATCTCCGGGATCTTTTCAGATTATAACATTTCTGTAAGTAGCAATAACTGACCCAGAGGTTGTCATCTTTCTGTTGAGAGTGGCTTTTCATCAGCTGAATAACCACCTCTGCCTCACATTTGTTGCTTATCACTATCTGATGTGTTATAAATCCCCAGCGTTCTGAAGTGAATGGTTATAATAAAAAATCAGGAGGTGGAATCTTCAGTGCTATCTGATGGAATGAAAGAATTGTATCTCAGCATCATAAATGCCGTGCATTACATGCCTCCCTTGAGGAGCGCAAAAGTGAGAAAGAAAACACATATCAAGTGCTCCTCTGTGCCACACATTGTACTAGGTGCTTTGTTATGTATTTGTGTTAGATGTGTGTGTATGCAACACATACTTTAAATTTATATGTGGTAACACTTGGTAGACCTGCTAAAATGGCAAAGCACCTATTCCTTTATACAGCCATGTCCATCCTCAGAGAATCTGAAGTGGGGCCAGAGTAGCTAGTTCTAGTTGGCATTCAGCCTTTCCAGCCAGCTCTAAATCATGCCCGCTGGGAATGCCATGATTTTCTACTCTTGCCTAAGCCAGGAGAAAGGAGAATCCCAAGAAAAAGAAGCGGGGAGATTAAGGGCATTTTCTCCACTTCCCTTTATTTACTTATTTTACTCAAAAGTGGGAGTGAATATCAGGAATTCACAAGCTCATCTAAGCACAAGTTGCCTCTGGCTTTGCATCAGGAACTGTACGGCTACAGATATTAGGAGAGTACCTGTGGAGTGAGTGCTTTTGGTGAACTCTTGCCCCCAGCACCTGCTGCATCTGCTCTTAAGTGAGCCCTGCTTGCTAGGTACCTCCTCTCCAGAATCTAGCAGGTCTCCCCTTGGAAGTTTATTCCAGCAGAGATGATAGGGAATCAGCTTGAAGGGTATGATCCCGCTAAACATAAAGGCTTTATTTAATACCGTACTAGGTGCATAGGAAGCATGCAGTATGTTAGCTATTTTAGCTACAATTTTTGGTAAGAATAATAATAATATTCAACTAATCTGCATTACATCAATTATTTCTTCCATTGTGGAGATTCTCTCTCCTTTAAACCGTTAAACCTGAAGAGGAAAACAAACCTGATAATCTGGTCACATTTATGCCCATAAATTCTACCTCCAACACAGCCCAGCCCTGATACCTCAGCTGTAAGCAAAAACTAGTGAAGAATGGAGATGCCTTAAGAGGCTTTATGAGAAAGCTTTTGCATTGTTTAGTGTGTTTGCAAAGGGGAGTAATATGGAAGAACCTAACCAAAGTTGTGAACGAAATGGTCTCCTTGGTTGTGTGGCGTTTCCCACCTCTCCTTGGATTATATGCTGTATTAATCTGCCATAACTGTTAAATGGTGTTTGAAGAAATGTGAAATTCTATTCCTTTGATTTTTATTTAAATTCGACCTTATTAAAAGCATCAAGCACTATACCACTCTCTCAGCATGTTCATAGACCGTCATTGGGAGAATCTGGACAAAATAACCTTCATTTAGAAGCTGAAACCCTTTTCGGTAGTAGGAAGAGGACTTGATTGGGAGCTCCTTCACCACTCACTTGGCAATTCTGGTCTCACTTCCATCAACTATAATAAAGCGGGATTGTTGCGATGGATCATCTCCAGCGTGAACAGTATCACAATTCCTCAAGCCCATATAGTTAGGAAGTGGCAAAACTTGGAAGCAAGATTCCTAATTCCTCAAGGTCATGTAGTGAATCTCCTAAATTTTAAGAAGTTTCTTGCTGTACCGGAACACTTTCTTCTAGAATAACAGTTTTCTTCAATTTTCAGTTTTCACAACTTCTAAAATTATTTTTTGCTATTTCTAGGCAACAGAATATTTGATTGCTTTTCTCAGTCTAGGCTAATGCTGGCCACACTTTAATTACTTAAATAAAGGAAACAAGATGTTTAAATATTGTGCTTATCAACATGCATCACTTTGTTGCTTTTACTGACATCTGGATTGCTAAACCTTGTTGAGCTAGTAACCTATTTCCTTTAGGCACCAATAAATGCAGACAACAAAGACCTCAAAGTTACCTCATCTTCTCTACATGAGCTCCAGTTTCATCTAAGTAAAGGCCCATGCACATTTAGAAACTGTTAACAATTCACAGATATTCAAATTCACATATATCTTTAAATGTTTTTGCTGTGGGATTGGATGTTTAATGCTCTGTATTAGGAGAAAAACATTCAATTGTATTTAGTCAGTGTTCTGAAAAATCTTTGTTGTTTTCTTTCCCCCACATAGATTAATCACCTTAGCAAAACCATGAGTGGAGGGAGAGATTGGTGGTGACCTATGGCTGAGCTCCTTTTGTGAGAGAGGAGGACGCCATGTGGGCATGTGGGTGATTAACTTATCTCTGGGAATTCCTATGTATTCCATATCCCTGACTCCTGACATCACTGGATTTCCCAAAATTCCTTTATGGGAGGCTGCCCCTCCTTCTGGCAAAGTTTGTTATGATTTTGAGTGTTTCCAGTTCTTTATGATCCAAGGAAACCAGAGTTGCTTCTCATGTTTAGTTGTTGATCAGAATCAGACTTCTATGCTCAATTAAAGTGCTTTATTATTTATCTAATGCAGCTCATATGGAAGTTAATAATTTCAGGAAATATTTACTAAAACCAAAACAAAAAGATCACTGGGTTATATTGGATGCATATTGCTTACATTACTATTAAAAGCATTTAAATAGACCCCCATTGAGATGAGATTGGGCTCCTAAGTGTTTTATAGTCAATATAACTGATATGATTAATTTGCATTTAACTGTAGTTATTGTTACAGTTCAAATAAGCTTCTAGAAGGTTCACATTTGACTAACATTATGGTAAGTGCTTCCTGACAGCTGCCTCATACTCTCATCTAACCTCACAACAGCTCTGCAAGGTAGGTCTAATTATTCCCATGTTAC